AGAAAGAAGGGTGTTTGCTTTGCACGCGGCTGACCTGGGTTTAATCCACGGCATCCCATATGATCTCCTGAGCATCACCAGGAGTGATTCCTGAATGCAGAATATGGAAAAAATTAGCTTTAAGATAAGTCTTCTGAGAAAACAATGTCAACCAATATGGTGTTTAATAGGTCAATATAAAATTACTCTTTGGTGTTTGTGTTTTACTTTAAAATAATTTCAAACTAATAAAAGAGACTCAAGAATACTGTAAGGTTTTGCTGTATTTGCTTTATCATTCTTGTGTTCTATCACCCCTTTATTTCTAAATACTTCTGTTTATAATTTTTCTAACACAGAAGCAGTATCTTATAGAGCTGCTATATAATTTTTTAAATTTGAAAATGAAATATGATAACAATAGTAGTATCTACTCTAGAGTCCATATTCCATTTGACAACTGTGCCAATATTTCTTTTGTGTCCATATCACATCTTAACCATATGAATCTACTCAGCTCTCTTCTATGGGCTCTCTATCCAGAATTATGCGATAGCATAGCGGTAGGGCGTTTGCCTTACAAGCGGCCAACATGGCCGACCGAGTTCGATTCCTCCGCCCCTCTCAGAGAGCCCGGCAAGCTACTGAGAGTATCTCGCCCACATGGCAGAGCCTGGCAAGCTACCCGTGACATATTTGATATGCCAAACACAGTAACAACAAGTCTCATGATGGAGACGTTACTGGGCCCGCTCGAGCAAATCGATGAACAACGGGAGGACCGTGACCGTGACCTGATAAAATTAATTATCTCTGATCACTGGGTAAACTACAGCTGCTGTGGCTTTGAAAGATTTTTCCAGGGGCTGGAGTGTTAGCACAGCGGGTAGGGCATTTGCCCTGCATGCAGCTGACCCGGGTTCAATTCGCAGCATCCCATATGGTCCCCTGAGCACCACCAGGAGTAATTCCTGAGTGCAGAGCCAGGAGTAACCCCTGTGCATTGCCAGGTGTGACCCAAAAAGCAAAAAAAAAAAAAAAGATTTTTCCAGTTGGGGCTACACCCAGCAGTATTTGGTGGAGGATATCCCTGCCAATATCAGGGCCAAGAGTTTAGGCCTGACATTTGAGTGTTCGGGTGTGCCTGAAAGTGCTCAGGAAGGCACTAGGGCTATACCTGGCAGTGCTCAGGGCCAAAGATTGAACTTAGACTTGGGCCTCACACATGCAGTCTGGTGCTCTTTCCCATATATCTGGTCACATCCCTGGACTTTTGAAAGAATACTTGTTTGGGGGAGGGGAGGTTGGGAGCTGGGCCACACTCTGCGATGCTCAGGGGTTACTCCTGAGAAACAAATGATTACAACAATAAATGTATATCTCAGATTCTGAAATAGCACCTTTAATTAATACTGTTTTCTAAACCATAAATGGTCAGCTGCACTTGATTATTTCTTTATGTTGGTATCAAATTACCCCTTTGCTATTTTATGATGATATATCACTATATCCTTTATGCTTGTTCTGAGTTATATTGTCTTCTTTCTTAAAATTGGAATCACACCCTGTGTATTCAAGGGACTCAAAGGTATTCCAAACAATGTTTTGACCCCATGATGTGAGCCTGAGGGTTCAATGGTCATGCTTGGTCATGCCTGGAGTCCACCAAAGCTACATGTGATCCTTGAGTCAGTGCAGTTCTGGGGATCAAATGGGATTTGATTAGATTTGATCTGTTATCTGATCATTCAAATGATCAAATGAGCTTTCACATGTTAGGCATACTGAGATCTCTCTCTCTCTCTCTCTCTCTCTCTCTCTCTCTCTCTCTCTCTCTCCCCTCCCTCCCTCCCCCCTCTCTGACCCTTGACTTTCTATTCCACACAGCAATCACTTGACAAGTCTGCAGAATCTTAGTATCCAACAGTGCAGTTTTAATACATGAAGCATGTGCTTATAAAACCACCACAAGAGATTCCAGACTGTACGTGTCTTGCAAGGTAGAATCCTAGCAGTCTCAATTTCTCACCCCACAGAAAAAAACTTCCAGGTTATAAAATGACAATCACAACAGAGTCCTTTTCTTGAAGTACAAATGAAAACAAAAGCATCTGTGATGACTAAATAAGAAATCACACACGAAGAAATTGAAAAATTAATTTATTATATGAAGAAACAAAAATATTTATTCAAGTCAATGACTGCAGAAAAACAGCCAGCAAAAACTCACATTCACAATTTACTGGCTGAAATGAAGCAACACATACATCCATAACCACAGCATTAATATCCTAAAGTTGTTTCTAAGGAAGTACTATATTAATTATCAAGTACTAATCAATTATAATGTTTATTTTACCATTTACAAGGCTGAAAAGATAAAACCCGTATTCGATTATAGTCTAGCATATTAGGCATTCAAGCTATAAGCCACGATTTTCAAAAGATGCTGCTATGTCCTTTACAAAATTCAACAGATATGACGATGGTAAATTTAATTCCCAGCAAAAGTGATTTCTTAGACTACAGTGGGCTTTTTTTCCCTTCAAGTACCATGTGTTTGAATGCAAATTTTAACAGGCAACTAATGCTAAGAGAGGGGTAACTACTAAGACCATATATACTTGCCTTCTATAAACCTGAAGGCTTACAAACGCACTCATGACATTCTCACAGAGGATGCTACTTGCTTCTTTTCTAACAGCCAAATAAATACTAACATTAATGGAGCTGAAGCATTTATAATAACAACTCCTTAAATAGACAAGATACCTTAAAATACTTTCATAGAGCATTTTCACACCTTTTATTGAAATTGATCTTTCAAACAACTTTTATGAGGTAGGTTGGGATGTGTAGGTGAGGAAACTCAGGCATGGGGAATTAAGCAACTTGAGGGCATGGATAGGGAAATGCTATTATCGCCAGTAAGAAAATGTCCTGTCCTCAGTAATGAAAAGACAAAGTCTAAACATGTTTGATGATCTTATTTCAATCTATTTTAAAAGAATTTTCACCTTCATCTAGCCAAATGATAGTGATTCAGCTGGAGTAGTTGGCATGACAAGTTACGGCATATAATTACACAACGTACCAAGGGTTTTTAAAAAATGAGAATCATAACTGAAAAACACATCTTAACTCTCAACACATGAGGGAAATTGATTTGTTTGTTTTCCCTGTAGCCAGTTCTCAGCCTAAACAACAATTCTGCCATTTCAGAGTTATAAACGACAAAAATTAGCAGTTTCACCATGAACGGTAAATGGACGTTGCTTTTTCTCCCCCCAAAGTGAATGGACATAATTCAATCAGCTAGTCAGTGGCTGAGTGAATAGCAGTACTCCTAGAAAAAAAATAATAAAAACAAAGTGAATGGACATAAAAGGATGATCCCAAAATAAGGAAATCTCTATGTCAAAAAGTAAGAAACCAGAAAATGGACAATTTATTTACCAACTCCCTTTGTCCTTGCAAGTGTGGCTTATAACTGGGCTTGGAAATTCTGACTGATTGTCACCACCAGTTTGGTTTGAAGTTACTCAAGAGTTTACCAAACTTCAATATTAAATTCATTTAAATGTATTTGAAGGTCATGATTTTATAGTGATTCTGGAGACAGTCTCCAAGTCAAGGCTGGAAATACCAGTCTCTCCATCCTTCTCGTTACGATTCCTCAGACTAGCAAACCTGACTGACCTATAATGTTCAGACTAGTTCATGACACGTCTGTTTCAAGTACTTCTTTTAAAAATGTTAATGGTAGAAATAATGACACTGGATCCTGGTTCCCACCAAAATTACTGAGGACATGCTTCACAGTCCTTCAATAAAACAAATAGGGTTCCAGATAAAAGGAGAAATTATAAAGAAGATAGAGTGTGGGGAGATTAAACAGGAAATCTTTTTCAAATTAGTTCACAATCATGCCAAACCAAAATGCATTTAAAGATAAAAATTCTTCTAATCATTTCATATTTCTATATAATTTTAAAGTTTCTGAAGTGGCTTGGGATAGGTAGATGATAGATGGAAGAAAATCCTTTTCTTTAAAATGATGAAAATTAAAATGCCCTATATACCTATGCAAGGTGAGAGATTTTTGTAAAGTTTTCTAAAAAAGTACATGTTAACCAAGGTAACTCTTTATCTGAAACATTCCTGACAGGCAAGGAAGAGGAAGTTAAGGTCAATAGTTTTATTTTTTCCTTCCTAAAAGAGGATACTCCTAGCAAATTCCATGAGAAATTTTAGACTGAAAGGAGAGAACTGAGCCTTAAGGAAGTTAGTTAAGCCTACCTTCTTGCAGATTCACATTTTCATCTATCTTGAAAAGGAAAGTATAAAAATCTAAAGCATTTTATGCTTCCACAACCCTCTTGCATCCAGAATTCCTTAAATATGTTGAAGGGAGACAACTTTCCTAAAATTCCAGGGCTTACTCTGGAATATTCAATTTTTATAACTACTGATGCTTGGAAATAATTCAAATCTAGACCTCTGAAACAGAGCAGACCAGGGCAGCTAACAGCTGATTATGTAGACAAAGCCCTAAGATTAGATGAACATGTAACATATGGCTATTCAAAAACCAAACTTGACAGTCCTCCATAAAAACTCTGACAGGAATTATGTTGTTGGCAGCAAGACCCCAGTAATATCATCTGGTCATCAGGACAGTTATCAGGTGTAACACATAAAGAAAACATTAGGCTATCTAGACAAGCAGTCTAGAAAACTAGAAAGCAAAACTTCTGTTCTCATTCTACTTGCTAGATCTAACCAGACCAACTTGAATATCATGCCAGCGTAAAGGTCAGAAATGTGAATGGTCAACTATGAATGATGGTGTCCTAGGCTGTCCCTCTGATACTCGCTTTCTCCATTGCTCCCACTTACCCAAGGGGTCTCTGTAAAGGGGAGCAACTCAAAAGAAGGAGCTGAAACTACCTTCCTGTTTTGTTATCTATGCAAGGCTTATCACTTGCCATGATGGAAAGGCAAGTGATAAGCATGTTCATCCCAGAAAATTATATATCTGTATGCCCAGAGACTTGGGTCCAATTAAGCAGAGATGTACTCCTTGGTTTAGATGGCAGGAGGATCTAAATTACTACATGAAGGTAGCTCATCCCTGTCTGTGGGTGGGCTTGTAACTATATTTCTTGTAGTATCCTGGGGTGTCTGCTTCTTGAATTTACAGCAAATAAATCTTAGACACTCCTGAATGCCTTCAGAAACACTGGAGGAAAAGAGCCTTTTGCAAGGGTGGAAGAACTGATAGAATACCATCATGAATAGAATGCCAGTGCAATACCCAATGAGCAACTGAAGAAACAATAAAGGGGCACAGACATACATATAGATGTCGGTCTTGTAAAGATACCAAATGAGGAGAAGGAAGGCATTTTCAATGAATCTCAGCATGTAGTACATCAGTGGCTGGTACCAGCTCTGTGACTTCTTAATGAGATCAGGGTCATCGATTTTCAGCTGCACCGCTGACCAGCAGAACATGTTGATTCCAGCATAGAGAAAGGTGAGGAAGCAGAGTACACACGTGATGCCCGTCCGACTGAGGGCCTTCTCGATGTGCTCAGGGAATGGAGAGCCGCTGTACCAGAAGATGATCCAGGGGTAAAAGAAGAAGCTACAAAAGTTGATGACCACGACTATAAGTACCCAGGCCTTCATGACGGAGGTAAACAGGACCAGGATCACGACTCGAGTGGCAATCTCAAAGCTCCTCCAGAGGAAGATACAGACATAGGCCAGGGGCTTCACATTGACCTCGTATTCATCATACTTGATCTTGATGGCTAGGATGTTACAGCGCAAAGCTCCATATACAATGGACAACAGGCATAGGAACATGAAGATACCTGGAGAGAAGAGAAAGAGCACTGTCAAGTCTCACCTCCACCAAGTCCTACAGTGCCAGATCGATACTCTGTAGTTAGATGCACACTGTGCCCAAGATCATGTTCCAGGTCTCCTGAAGGCTGCTCTGTTCAGGTACAAGGCAGGCTGAAATGCCATGGACAAAATGCCCCAGGGAGGACTCTCAATACTCTTCACTGTAGCTCTCATAAGAATCAAAATACAGTTCCCTTACCCCATCAGATAGGATAATTCTGAGGCACGTGTTCCATATTGTCAGGGCTTCCTGGTTTGAGTAAGGTCGAGTTACCACTGTGACAGTTATATAGTTACTACTGTGATAGTAATCTAGTAGTGCTCCCCCTACTGGGTGCCCTCCAGTCTCTGTCTCATTCCCCTTGTCCTGTTCGCTTTCTACCAACCTCCCTCAAACAAAAACCAACAAAATATACATGCACACAAATACAAATTCTTATCTCAGGGTCTGTTTCAGGGTCTCAGCCTAAAACAGCTCAGAGTAAAACACCTTTCTGAGTTCATTGTGGTCTGTCTGAATAGGTGGAGTCCTTTATGTGGTATGTTTTGTTACCTCAAATAGCATACAAGCTCCTGAGAAGTGAAGAACCATGATGTCTGATCATGTCTGAGGCCCTCTGACATGCCAGTAATAGGTGCACAAACAGAAGACATTCAAAAAGGAATTTCTCAGTCAGTTCCACTCTAGTGGTAGGACCTGCTAAATGTATATACCAACTACAGAGACTCACTTTTTAAAAAAGTATTTTTTAGTTTCAGAGTTATGGAAAGTCAACAATGGGCTTAAAGGCCTTAGTGTTTCAACTCCCTCCCTTCCTTCTCTTTCTCTTTCTCCCAGTCTTTGCTTTCTCTCTTCTTTTTCTGCTTTTGGGTCACACCTGGAAGTGTTCACGGGCTACTCTCAGCTCTGCTCATTGCTCAGGGGTTGCTCCTGGCAGGGCAAAGTATACTATTTCCTTGTATTTATTAAAATACCTTGTAATTAAATGGGGTTATCCAGTTCACAAACAACAGCAATTTGGGGGTACAAGATCTAACTCATTTAAATGAAGCAGGGTACCTTGTTCTAGAATATAATGTTGTTGGCCCTGTGTTTGATTACTTAAAAAAGTTCTGCCAACCCTTGCACCTAGATTATGCATTCAAAAATGAAATATGATCACTCACTACAGGCTGCCACTATATCCAAATATTGGAACAAGGAGGGACAGGAGGCAGGACTTGGAGCTACAATCAAGGGTTCGTTCAGCTCTTGTTTTACTCTTGTTTTATCAGGCTACAATGGAGAAAAGGTTATTTTCTCATCCATAACTGAACTGATAATATTGTCTATGAATGCTTCTTTAAGCACAACGTCCATGAAACATGACTATACTACTCAACTGTATAATTTGAAATACATGGGAATAATGTTTTTTGTTTGTTTTGATTTGTATGCAACACCCAGCAGTGGTCAGAGCTTACTCCTTGCTCTGTGCTCAAGGATCACTCCTGGCAGGTTTGGAGTACTGCATGGGATGTTAGGGATCAAAATCAGATTGGCCACATGCAAAGCAAGTGCCCTACTCACTGCGCTATTGCTCAGACCCCTGACCCCTGACCTCTTTTTGCTGTTTGCTTATTTTGGGCAGGGGAGGGGGCCACACCCTGGTGCTCAGGGTTTACTTACTCTTGGTTTTGCCCCCAGGGTTCACTCCTGGCAAGTTCCGGGGGTGAACCTATAGGATGGTCAGTACTGAACCCGGATCAGCTGCATGAAAATCAAGCACCCTACCTTGTACTATCGCTTCACTCCCCTTTTTATTATTTAAGTTCTGATTCAAAGAAAAGTACCTATGTGTAGGAGGAATGAAAACTTGGTATTGTTTCTGGTACTTAATTTCTTCAATTTTACTTATGACTTCAACTCAGTCTTTCTCATAGTCTTTTGGCACTGATTTAAAACACTGTTTTCAGGGCCGGAGTGATAGCACAGCAGGTAGGGCATTTGCCTTGCATGCAGCCAACCCGGGTTTGATTCCCAGCATCTTATAATGGTCCCCCGAGCACCACCAGGAGTAATTCCTGAGTGCATGAGCTAGGAGTAACCCGTTCATTGCGGGGTATGACCCAAAAAGCAATACATACATACATACATACATACACAAAACACTGTTTTCATTCAATGGGAAGATCATCATCTACTAGGCAAAGTTAAAAGCTAGAAATAATATAGTAAGAGTTAAACTGGGAAATAATTGGCTTGAGTTAATTTTTCCTAAGAGATTAATTTTATGGAGCACTGTAAAGCATATATATATTGGTGACATATTTTTATATATGTGATTAGATGATACAGAATTCTAATACCCTAAGGATTTAGAACTGAATCCTCTGCTTTTAGTTAGTATTTTCCACTATGAAGAAAATAATATCTATATATACATACATATATATGTATGTATGCAAGTTAAAAGGTAAAGGCCCTCCCGTTGATCGTCGATTTGCTCGAGCGGGCCCAGTAACGTCTCCATTGGAGACTTTGTTGTTACTGTGTCTGGCATATCGAATACTCTCGGTAGCTTGCCGGGCTCTCCGAGAGGGGCGGAGGAATCGAACTCGGGTCGGCCATGTTGGCCGCTTGTAAGGCGAACGCCCTACCCGCTGTGCTATCGCTCCAGCATAGTTAAATGAAGAAAGGCACTTTTATTGAATGAAACTTGCTTAGAATGGTGTGAGATGAGAGAAAGAGGGGTAAATGTGTTCAAGTGAGAATATAGGCTTCTCCAGGTGGAAATTGGCAAACAAAGAAACATAGTCAAGCAAGTGAGATATGTAATCAAGGGAGAACATTGGGTTGAAGAGCAAGATTTATTTATTTATTTATTTATTTAAGTTTGGGGCCAAACCCGGTGGTGCTTGGGACTTATACTTTTCTCTTTTTGCATCTGTTGGTGACTTCCATTATTTTTTCCCCTTTTTTTTTAATTAGTGAGACACCATGAGGTACAGTTGTAGACTTACAAATTTTGTGCTTGGGTTTCAATTATACAATGATCAAATACCCATCCCTCCACCAGTGCCCATTTCCCACGGATCCCAGTTTCCCTCCCACCCCCATCCCCCCAAGCCCACCCTGCCTCTGTGGCAGGGCATTCCCCTCTGTTCTCTCTCTCCTTTTGGGTGTTGTGGTTTGCAAAAGAGGCAATGGGTGGCAATCATGTTTGGTCTACAGTCTACTTTCAGCATGCTTCTCCCATCCTAGGAGGATCCTCCCAACACCCTTTATTAGGTGCTCCCTTCTCTATCTGGGCTGTCTTTCCCCCTAGCATGTGTGGCTGGCCTCCAAGCCACGTAGCAAAATTCCTGGTACTAATCTCAGCCACTCTTGGGTGTTAATCTCCTATTTTGTTACTTTATGTTCCCCAGATGAATGTATCTTTCTGTGTCTAGCCCTCTCTTTCTGACTCATTTCGCTTAACATGATACTTTCCATGTAGTACCACTTGTATGTAAATTTCATGACTTCATCTTTTCATTTTACACTCCATTGTGTAAATGTACCAAAGTTTCTTTAACCAGTCATCTGTTCTTGGGCACTCAGGTTTTTTCCAGATTCTGGCTATTACTTACTCTTTTTTTATGTAGGAGTACTGCTACTTATTCACCCTCTGATTAGCTGATTGAATTGGACATGAACTCCACCTTACTTTGTTTTTCATAATTTTATTTATTTTTTCTTCCTTATATTTATTTATTGAGTCACTGTGGGAAAAGTTACAAAGCTTTCAGGTTTAAGTCTCGGCCATACAATGATCAAACACCCCTCCCTTCACCAGTGCTCATTTTTCACCACCAAGAACCCCAATATACCTCCCTCCCACCCCTCCCAATGCCTGTGAGGCAGATGATTTCCACTTAACTCTTCTCTACATTGATTACATTCATTATTTTGACAAAAGATGCACCATTATTGTTTAGAATCCCCCCCCCAACAATTAGAATTGCTGAAAAGGCATTGTGAAATACTTTGCTTTCTATAGCTGGTTATGAGAATCATGTAATGTTGTGCAGCCGTAATAGCAGCCGCGCGATTTTGGATTTCTGCAAAGAGCCAGATAATTACGAGATTGGTTTCTGTGCATCTGGTGTTATGGCCGTGCCGGAGAGCCACTCGTGGGGGGCAACTCGTGACATTGGTAGGGCATGAAGGACGATCCGGTAACGCCCCCCTTCCCATGAGACTGCAGTTGTCCTGTCACCACTCGCTCATACCTGGCCTTCCTATATAAGCTCTGAGGCGGCGGCCAGCTTGCTGCCGGGTGGGGGGGGAGGTGGAAGGAAGCAACACCCTTTCCCTCTCAAGGAGGCATGGTGCCATAGTTTTACACATGGTCCATTCACTTTTCTACCATAAGCTGCCAGACTCTGGATTAAGTCCTTTTGCCTCTGGAGCTATGGCCGTGCCGGAGAGCCGCTTGTGGGGGGCAACTTGTGACCTCGGTAGGGCATGAAGGATGAGCCGGTACTGACCCCCTTCCCATGAGACTGTAGTTGCCCCGTCACCGCCATCTCATACCTGGCTTTCCAATAAGCTCTGAGGTGGTGGCCACCTTGCTGCCAGGGGGGAAAAAGGCAGAAGGCAGCAACACCCTTTCCCTCCCGGGGAGGCACGGCACCGTAGTTTAATGCATGGTCCATTCACTTTTCTGCCACAAGATGCAGGGCTCTGGATTAAGTCCTTTTGCCTCTGGAGCCATGGCCATGCCAGAGAGCCACTCGTGGGGGGCAATTCATGACCTCGGTAGGGTGTGAAGGATGAGCTGGTACCGCCCCCCTTCCCATGAGACTGCAGTTTTCCTGTCAACACCAGCTCGTACCTGGCTTTCCAATAAGCTCTTAGGCGGCGGCCACCTTGTATGCGGTCCGAATGCATTTCTGCCTAAAGCCGCTGGGTTTCGAGATTTGTTTCTGAGTCTCTGGGATC